CACGGGCCCCGCCCGCAAACGTTCCTGCAGGCCGCAGCTTGGCCCAGCAACCCCGCCCTAGCGTGGCTTTGCTTCGCCCTACTCCTGAAACAATCATACCGCATCATGCCACTCTTCACGAAATGAGTCCTTGCTGACTGTAAAAACATCTAAATCTAAGTAATATCGACCTATATAGGTCACTGGACTGGTCCGTCACCCAACGCGAGGGGCGTGACCGCTCCTCACGACGCCTGGGAATGATACATTGGAACGACCCGGGTGCGCTCGTTGGCAGGCACGAAGATGCGTGATCAGCAAATCTGGGGGGTAAATTCTCTCCGCTTTTGTATGCCCTCAGTCGGAAAGAGGGGTACGCATGTCTGACATCATACGGACTGTACATACACTAGGTCGTCCATAGTGTAGGAGAAGCACCGGTAAAAGGTATATGGAATAGAGTGTCTTGAGGACATAGCCTGTTTGTGGTTATTGCCAATCTTGGGGGGAAATTTACCCCCCGCTATGTCTGCCTTGAGCCGGAACGAGGGATAAGCATCACTTGAAGCCAGGGGGAGCAGGTCGAACGCTAGCCGAGTCGCACCGGATGTACTAGTTACATAGTCGGCAAAGCGTGTAGGGATTACATGTTTTGGGAGGAAGCTTGCTATGTACATACTTGGCGCTAGAGAATGTAAATGCGACATCGCTGACTGGGCAGGGTACATTGGAACAACCCGGGTGCACTCGTTGGCAAGCACGAAGATGCGTGCTCCGCAAATCTAGGGGGTAAATTTACCCGCCGCTTTTGTATGCCTTGAGTCGGAAAGAGGGGTAAGCATTTCTGACATCATACGGACTGCACATACAGTAGGGCGTCCGTAGTGTAGGCTAAGCACTGGTAAAAGGTATAAGGACTGAAGTGTCTTGAGGAAATAGCCGGCTTATGGTTATGGCAAATCTGGGGCGCCAATTTACCCCCCGCTTATCTATGCCTTCAGCCGGAACGAGGGGTAAGCATCACAAGGACTGTGCATACACTAGGGCATCCGTAGTGTAGGATAAGCACTGGTAAAAGGTGTCAAGAATAGAGTGTCTTGAGGAAATAGCCGGTGTATGGTTATAGCAGCCAGCAGCACCACGCAGCAGCAGCGCTGCGCTCCTCCCCCAAGAAAAGGGGTCGGCGGCACCAGGGCGGAGCCCTTACTATATGTTTGGGTATGACACGTGCAGTCTGCCACAAAGTGTTCAGCATTGAACTCTCAGCACCATTATTCAACACATGTCTGAGCGATTTGTTGCAGTCAAACACTAAATCGTTAACATGGCCACAGCCTGTGATGAAACAAAGCTTCGATATCGAACGAGGCACCGAACGAAACCCAGGGTGGTCTTAGGGAACCTTTAAGAATCATTCAGTGCTGTTTCTCACTCCAAGTGGAATGCATCATGACGAGAAACCATATCAATATCATGTCAACCACTAATCACTAATATTATCCGACAATTATAGTGATTTGAGGTGATTTGTGGATACAATTTCTGGTACCCAAATCTGTAAACCAACAAGGTCATCAAAATATAGCAACAATATGCAACAATAGAAATGCACCTGAAATTGTGAGAACATTTCCATTGATGTCCCATATGTGGTCATGGATCCTCAAGGATTGATACTCGTGTTTGTCTTACACCGTGTGCGCTGTTCACGTTCCCGTGTGCTCCTTTCAGGAGAAGGTGGCGTGGGAGCATTTTTCTTTGGCTCCTCTAGGCAATCGAGAGGCAACATCAGCCACAACGGCCAACTTTGAAGATCCAAAGTTGTTGCTCTTCCCTTTCTCGCTGTTGCTGTTGCTGCTGATGGTGCTCATGTTTTTGTTGCTGTGGAAAAATGCAACTTCTTGGGGTCGAAGTCACCCAAACACCATGCGCCTGTCATGCGCTCCACTTCCATGTTTGTTTGGATGGAGGCTATGAATCCAAACAATTCACAAACCCTATCAGGAGGTGGGACTGGGGGCGTTTCTGGTGAGTTTGGGTCCAGCTATACCTTCTGAGTGAGGATTTGCCCATGAATCAATGCCCATTGTGCCCATCATAGGGGTCCCATCCCGATCGTCCCCTGGCAAAAGCTACCGCGCCGCACCTCGGTTCTCTTCCGGAACAAGAGCTCCTTGTCCCTCACCTTGGCGCTGCATGTGTTGTGTGGTGGGCGGACAAGGGCGCCCTGTACAGTCATAGTTGGTCCAACTTTGGAAGCAAATCAGGAGGATCTGAAAAAAAAAAAAAAAAAACACCCACTGGAGGATCTGAAGAAATCACCGTCAGCCAGTACCCCTCCAGTACGATGGAGCGTTGCAGCACTCTTTTCGTTCAGGCCAAGTTCAGCGGGGGAAGGTATTGGAGCGTGTCTTTTATGTGTTATCAAGCGCCTGGAACCAGAGGTTTGTGGGTCATGGCCATGGCTGACAAAAACACCAACAGAAGTGGCAGTCAGAAGGGGCAGTCCTTGCAGCTGCAGCTCAGGGCTCGTGTTCAAAGCTACTTCACTGATCTTCATGTCTTCGCTTCCCCGAGAGAATCTTTGAGGAAACAACGACATGGAAGGTGATGTTCACAACAAAGCTGTCTGGAACCCTCAGTTGAAGTAACCTTTAACATGCTGTGTCCAAAAGGAACTTCTGGGCTGTTCCGTGTTCCTGGTGAGAGATGTTTGGAACAACTGGCTACCTTGGAAACCGGTGGAACAGGACCTTGATTGACTCCCAAATGAACCATCAGGGATATCTACCTCTTCTGGTGTGGGTGTTGACACTGTCTGGTAGACCCGGTATGTAACAACGTCTCCCTCCAGATGTCTAAACGACCACGAAAACTGAGTGGTTCGAGTGGATCCTCCCGACGTCTCCCTGAGAACCGCTGCCCATTGGAGCAGCTCCTTCACCACCTGGCCATCGCTGGCCGCTGGCCATGGGGGGTATAGGGGGGGGGCATTAATTAGTTCTTTACGTAGTGCCGCGATTCCACGCTGGGTGGAACTCATGAGGTTGCATGATACTTGTGGGGTTTAAAGAGATGGACGTGCCTGCAAGACCTCGCGCCCTTGACCAATGCTAATGCACTACACTCCCTGAAATCATGGAAGTGGAAGCCTGGCCCCTTGGATTACAATTTCCCTTTACACACCTGGTGTTTTTCCCCTTCCATGTCTATGACTCCGAGTGTAACAGACTTGCTGATTGACACAGCAGTCCAATGAGTTGGCATTCTTCAAAAACTGTAAACGAGCAGTCCAGGATAGATCCATCATTGAACCCTAGAATTGTTTCTTTTCGCGCCATGACTCTCCCCATCTGTCGATGTGCGCCGCCTTCTGTCGATCTTTGTTCATCTTTGCAAACTCGGACTTCTTGACCTTTGCTCGTCACGGTCTCGTTGTCCGGTCTCGTTGTCCCGGTCTTTCCGGGACCGGAACGACGCATGTCACACGGTATAGAAACGGCACCAAGGTCACCGATGGGGAAATTTCGTTTGAATCCATTGGGTGACCCACATGGTGATGCATGGTGACACGGTGTCAAGCAACTTAGTAGGAACACATGTAGATTTGAGCTCGCAAATAGGCTGGACGTAGATAAAACATATCAGGCGGATGATTACTGATGAAACAACCCCACATATGGTGTTACATGGTCTGACAAAAAAAATACTGTATAACGCGTCTTCCGCCTCTCCATCTGGGCAGCTGCTAAGGACTGAGGTCCACCATTTGTGCACGTTGCTTGATCTTGATTGCTCAGTGTTGTCCCCAAAGTTCAGAAGAAAAACTTAGAAACAGGTGGTAGCATTGCGGTGCACTTCAAGGATGTGGTCTTTCCAGTTGTCTTTTGGGTCTTGAGCAAGCAGTTCCTACATCTTGAGCATCAGCTAGCCGCTCCTACCACTTCAAGCCACTGTCCGATCTCATCAACGCCAAGAAGTCTGTAAAACATTGAAATTGTGAAAAAATCATGGAAATACCAATCATGGAAGTGGAACGCCCCTGTGGAGGAAAGTGAGGAGTCATGTTCCACCTCAGGATCTCGATCGCCTCGGGATCTCGCTCGTTCGCGCTCGTTCTGGGTGCCCCGTTCCAAGTCTTTGAGTCTCGTTTGCCCTGACCGTTCACCTCAGATCTCTGGAAAGCAGGACGTGCCGAAACCGACATCGGCTTGTGGTGCTCCGAAGCCGCATCACATCGGCAGGGAGAGCATGTGACGAAATGTGACCCACATGTGCTCGCCAAGGTCTGGCTAATGCAGTGCTCATAGTCTGATGTGCAACTTTTGTGTGGCTGCCTAAGCATGTCTTCTCAAGTTCTTCAATTACAAATCGACCCAATTGGTAAAACAAACCTGTGGCGAAAACGAACTTCTTGGAGCGAACAGCCATCTAAAATCGTCTAAAGAAGATCATGTCACCCAAGGCACGGCCGTTCCTCTGCTGCAAGCATCCACCCTGGCCAACTGGTTTTCTCTGGTCTACTCCAGTTAAGTGGTTTGGATCCTGATGGACCATGCCGGTTTCCAAACGCCGGACGGTCCAAGCCCACTGAAGCAAGGAACCCAGGTCGGAGAGGAGCCGGGCTCGGAGGTGAGCTAGGTTGTGGTCGGGCGTAGCCCGAAAAGAATCTCAACTTAAGTGAACAAAAAGAACAAACCAAACAAATAAATTAAACTCAATACAGTATACATAATTATATAACACTATATAACTAGTAATAACATGCAATAACAATAACCAACTAGAATTTCCTGGTCCGGCGGTTGAGGTGAGTGTTTGGTCGGAGTCGGGTCTACAAAGCGTTCCTTACAATCACCACAGCAGGTACTCGCCTTCTTGGCGTGTACTGCCCGGAAACCATAGCATTGGCCTGGGGTCTTCGGAGCTCTTCTTCTGTTTGACATTTGATACCTTTCAGCACAAATCATGAAACATCTTTGTTTTGGACATCGTTTCCCTAACTGATTTGAGCAAAAAACAACCTTGTGGAGTCATTTAAGGTTGATGGATTCCATGTGGTGGCATCTGTTTCGACATTGGTCTCACACTTGCCAATGCCTGTGCGACAAACCAACTCTTTTGGTGTACTGTGTACTGTGCACAAACTAAAGGGAATCCGCCCTTCTGGGCGAGACTGCGGAAATCAATTCCTGTTGGCCGCTCAACAAGCAGTCTTGGGGTGGCACCCGAACCAAGAATGATGGCACATGCGACCGAGCCACATTTGAGTGTTCGACCTCCCTTGCTCAGCACATCATGGTTGAGGCAAATGTCCTGGGACCCCCCCCAACCATGAACAAAGGAGTTGATGATGCACTTACCTCCTGTACAGTAACAGGCCAACAAAGGTTCAGGAGGGGTTGTAAGAGCCATACAGTGCAGTAGAAAGCTGATAAGCGTCCTCGTACATCTGCAGCTGCGGAGTGTATTCCACATTCAAACGCCAAAGTTCTCGCAGGTCCAGCAAAACCACCTGCAGAACGTGGGCCCCTGCGCACCTTTCAGGTGGACCATGAGTGTTGTTGATCGCGCAACGAGGTTTCCATAAAACATGGCGACTTGCCAGAACCAAGGTTGGAAGAAGGCGACACTGGCTCGCGGTGCCTTGTAGAGGGCCAACTCATCAAGTTTCCAGTCGTTGCCTCTGGGCACTTGAGTCAAGCCGCAAACTTCGCAAGGCAACCAAGCGCCAAACGCTTGCACACTGCCGTGCCATCATCCCGGAGAAAGCCCGCCACGGCTGCCCTGACACAAGCGTAGCTATAGAAAACTCGCAACCAAGAAAAAGCTCAAGAAAGCAAGGAACGAAGAAAGGAAGGCAAAGGACAAGAAAAGAAAAGAAAAGGATTTAGAAAAGAAACAACAAAGCAAATAATTTACATTCTGATGGTGCAGCGTTCCCTTTTAGCGAGCATCCAATTATTCACTGGCTGTTTGGTCTAGTGGCATGATTCTCGCTTCGGGTGCGAGAGGTCCTGGGTTCAATTCCCAGAACAGCGCTTGCTCATTCTGAAACCTTCGTCAATGATCATATCTTTTCCGTTCCGCTTGTTTTGTTTTGTTTTCTTGATATCAGCAGTGCTGCTCAAAGAACGCTTGCATACCTTGCATCTTAACGTTTGCAAAAACGAGCGATCTTCATACATTTTCCTCTTCACCCACCTTCCGATGAAGTGATGCCGCTGCACGGCCAGCAATGCCTTCTGTGGAAATGGCCGTGGATCAAAAGTAGGAGACCTAGCTTGACCTACGAGTACCTGGAAGGTCAAGACCAGCTCTCAAGTTTTTGACTCAAATGGATTTGACTGGCTTTGATTCTTTCATGTCAAAGCAGCCCACAGAATCACAAAGCAAACAATCTTTCAGCTGCGCATCTTATATATATATATAAAATAGACTCTGCATTGCCAATTGTCTTGTTCTCCACAACCAGCTCCCGCGACACCTCCTGGAACATCAAGCCATTGGCCACTCGGTGTTTCATCCGTTTGGGCCTCCAGTTGCGGTCAGGAGCATTCGACAATTTTCGAGCTTTGGTGGCCTGCGTGGCTAACTGACGTCTGGACTGGCTCAAGTTCTTCCTCATCCCCATGTATCCTATGGAATCTTGAACCCAAGAGGGTTAAAAGTTGGTGAAACATGATGAAACCATCAACGAGAACCAGTCTGCACGCCAAATGGCGCAGAGACTCCAGCCACTCTTCCCTCAGCTTAGTTGTGTTTCATGTCGGACCCCCAAACCAAAATGCAAAACTACAGTGCTTGAATTTTGGCGCCACCCAGCGCACCGTCGCAGCCGGCCGCAGGATACAAACTTCTCCATCAAAGCAAGCCTGGCGGTGAAGGGTGAAAAATGCGGGAAAACCACTATATAGTCAGTATTTTGGGAGATCAAACTCAATGGATTGCTGAATGCGTCCATCATGTTCCATCTTATACAAACAATCAATTAATCAATTGTCAACGGTGGTCCGATGTCAAAAGCCAAAGGTGCCGAATATGATCAAACGACTGATGAAACGCATCTCTCACGGGTGAGAAAGGTGTAGCTGATAAATCTAAGAACCCTCTAAGAACACAAATTAAGATGGGTTTAGGGCTCTCCTATCTGGGCCACAAAAACGGCTACCTCCCGCACAACCAACAGTTGCCAAGAGCTGATGCTCCGTTTAGACTCCGCAAGAACTGCTTGCTCACCCTTCAGCGGTCTTCCACGTTTAGGAAAATGTGAAGCTCTTCATGTCTGACCCATTCCGGCAGCTGAGTCCTTTTAAAATTGCATGCACCCCTGGCGGCGTGCATTTGTTGGAGGCAAGCTTGAATATTGGTTCTGAACCCTAAAATAATATATTGCATAATCCTCTCAAACAAGAACGAATGCGGTGCCTGTAAAACATCGTCAGGGTGTCGTCAACGATCCAAATCCTGCCACAGGTTGCTGAAGTGATAGCGCAGCGATAGTCTGATAGTCCCACAATCTTTGCTGGAAGACTCACTGCCTTGTTGAATGTGGATAATGTAGCAAACTCATAATGACAAAGTGTCAACTGCCAGCCAGTGCTCTCTTGTTTATATTACATTGTATTACAATATTCATAATAAACACAACATAACACAACTATACACATATTTATCCAAAAGAAACTCAGCCTTGCAGTGCCTTGTTGAAGCAGCTCCTTCCAACTGCTTTAATTTTCCACCTCACTCCTGTGCTGAGCTTGGTACATAGGTGTCTGGTGTCACAGTTTGCTTCCTATGGACTCAGCTGGTGTCCAAATCCACATCCCTGAAACAACATGGAGAAGGGTATGTATATTGATGGCCACTTCCTTCCACTTCATTTGGTTTGGCCGTTTGGCCATCAACCCATGGGCCATCGCCACGACGCCTTTGGAGTCTTCGCTGGGACCCATCGCTTGCCTCGTGTCCTGAGGCCGGTCCCATGGCGAACGAGTTCTCGCCCGACCGGTTCCGAGTAGTATACGGCCAGCCCCGAGTAAGGAGCGTCCGAGTTCTCGCGAGGGAGGAGCGAACACAAAAAGAAGGGAGTTCGTCTCATAGGCCAAAGTGAGGACACAAAGACACAAAGGCCTGGAAGGCCTTCCGCTGGTCACAGGCCACTCTACTGTGAGTTCGGTGGGTGAGTGGAATGCCAGGTCAACAATTTCAACTTCTCACCCAGAACTGAGAGATCCCCGTCCTACGATGCACGAACTGGTGCAAAGCCGCTGAACAACCTTACAGGACCAGGCGCCAAGGTGAACTTCCCCATCAGAACTGCCCAACATGAACTACCATATCAGGTACTTCATATCAAAGCAAAGCAAGGCAAATGCAAATTCCATGCACAGGAAAAGCAACAAGAAGAAATGCAACATGCAACAAGTAGTGCAACATTCACATGAACATTCACCATTTTGCTTTAGTTACTATTCCATATGTTTGTAATATTACTATTCTCACCTTGAGCAGCATGTAATGCATGTCTAATGTTACAACACTTGCACTACACACAGTCTTTTGTGTGCATTCCAGGTAAGTGTAAGCCCATCGACTGTAGGTAGTGGATGCCACAACTATGAGATTCAATGTCCTAGAAGCAGGAGAGGTCCAGTACATTGCATGGTGAGGTTCCCCAGCACATCACAACGATGATGCTCTTCCTGCCTCTCTCTCTCTCAGCAGTGTCGCAACACTCATGTCCCATTGAACTGGGCTCTTCTGGGATCAAGGCCTTTCAATTTCAGGGAGGAATCTTGGATAGAACCAAATCTTTTGCCAACACAAGTCTGGTCGCCTTGACACTCAATGTCCTACTGTTGTAGACTTATATATAACATATACAATGGCAGTAGTGGTAGGTCAGTTTTCTTTCCAAGATACTGCTTCTAGCCCATCCGCCAAACAAAGCTTGATCAGCCCACATGCTGACAAGGGATGTATTTTGTGTGGCTGTGTTCCAGACCATTTGGCGGGCAGCTTTGGTTCGGGGTATGTATCACACCAATGAAACAATGGGCCATAACTTGACAGACTAGCGGACCAGCCTGACTAGCATTGTCAGGGATGCCTAATAAAAATCCGGAATGACACAGCTTCTTGTTACATCTTGTTGCCAGGAGCTACTAATAGCTTCTTGTTACATCTTGTTACTAGTAGTAATGCCAGGATCTACTAGTAACCTCTTGTTACATATTGGTACTAGTAGTGTTGCCAGGAGCTACTAGCAGCTTCAGGTTACATCTTGTTACTAG